CCATCACCCTGGGCTATAGGCAGGAGAAGGCAAGGCTGGTGATGGAATTAAAGCAGCACTAAGTAGGAATTCCGTTTTTGTCAAACAGCGACCCCTAGAGTCGCTGTCGAGTACTTGTACTGTCGTGAATAGCACTCACGCAGAGATGGCTCGCACTCACGGCCGGATCCCCTCCCCCTGTACACCGGTACCTGTTCAGTAGGATGGACGCTGTAACGAGTGGAAATAAGGTATGGCCCCTTTAAGAGCTGCGCGCGCCCAACACCACATGTATACGGCGCCGGGTTATTTCTGTTTGATGCTCATTTTATCAGAATTTTATCAGATCTGTTTTTTGCCGTAAAGCAATTCGTTACCTCGCGAGACCTGATATCACACGATACTTCCTAACACTGAGGGCGGCGGCCCGCCGGCCCAAAGTTGCAAGGGTGGTTTTGCGGCTCACAGGCACCAGTGGGGTGCGACACGACCACCATTCAACACGAAATCAGTAATATAAACATTACAATGACTCCAAAGCTGTTCGGTTAAGGTAAAAAAGTTACTTAGTTCACCTTTAAGGGACTCCTCCGACAGGACAGTGGCTGATGCAAATGCCAGAGTTAAGACTGGAAGGAAATGGAGGGCCAAGGAGGAGGTGGAGAAGGTGATGGGAAGACTGCAACATCAACAAGTCGTGGGCATGGTCCAGACAGGACGGGCAGGTCTTGGATGGAGCAAGCCACCCATCCCATGGTCCAAGGCAAGCAGGAAGGAGAGGAAGGACCTTGTTGTTGAGGTCACCAGGATTAAGCAGGAGGAGATCAGAGTGAGGTCTGTAGTAAAGGGGCAGCAGGGGCGGTGGACAAATTGGGAGGGTATCGCGAGCCGAGCAATCAGCTGGCCAGAGTTCTGGAAACTGCCACAGGCTCAGCTCAGTTTCCTCATTAGGGCAACGTACGACACTCTCCCGAGCCCTAAAAACCTCCACCAATGGCTTGGAACAGAGCAATCCTGTGACCTCTGCGGGACCATCAATGCCTCACTCCAGCATATTCTGAACAGCACTGACACAGGGGCGGCTCAGATGGCGGCACGACCAAGTGCTCAGAAAGCTGGTAGAGGTGCTGGAGAAAAGTCTGACAAAACTTTCTGTTTTGTCAGGGTGAGTAATTACTGACAGAACTTTCATTTTTGGGTGAACTAACCCTTTAATATTTGCGTTTCATATATTCACCAAAACCAATTTTTACTCGCATTCGGGCGCTTAGCGAGTGTTACTTTTAGTTTTAGGCCCTGCATTAGCTATTTCAGGTAAACTATGAACAGTATATCACAAGCGTTTAAATATGGTATTGTGGAGCTGTAATTCTGCCAGTAAATTATGAACAGACTGAACAATAAAAAAAAATAAAAAAAACACTGGCGGGAAGAACATTGAGCAGACAGTTTGAAAAGAGAGAAAAATAATGATTATACTGAATATATGCACGTTAGAAAAATAAAGAGCATTGCCCATTTTTCTCTCAATAAAGTATGAGCGTCCTCTGAGACCTGTGAGGTCAGCTGTATGCCTCTTTTCACAAGATGCTCAAAGAGGTGGACAGAGACTCATTAAGGCTCTTTTTCCCCCCTCCCAGATTCACATGCAACCCCTGGTCAACCCATTGCCATGGGAACTGCTCAGGCAATTGTGCAGAGGTCACCCACGGTTGGCTCGGCCAGACTCAAACACAATACCCGTGTTCCTCGAGAGACCCAATTTTACCCTGATGTCACTCACAAAGATCAGGCGTGAGATCCTGTGTGTTGCTTTCACTTTGGCCTTATCTTTTAGCAGCATGTGCAGGACAAAGTGACAGTGCCTGCCTAGTCTGACTTGCTATTTGTTTGGCCTTTCCTTCTCTCACTCCCTTCACTTTCTTGTTTATTAAGATCATTAAGTTGTTAAATTAATCTAGTTCACTAAAAATGACCTGCTCACAGGTGTCTCTCACTGTCAATCTGAATAATGCATCAGAACTGAACTAATCCATCTCACATTACTGCCAATATGACACCACTAAACTATTAATTTAGATGTATTAATTCAGTGGCTTGTCAAGTTTGTCAACCATTCAGAGGTTTCTCTTCTCATCACCTGCTCCCCACATGGAGGTGTTGGGCTGATCTGCTCTGAGAGGGACTGGGAGCAGATCCATCTTGTATAAGATGGTAGGTTTCCCATTCTGGATTACACCGTATGAGACAATTTAATGAAAAGAGAAGATTAAAAGAAAGTGAGCGGGGGAGGCGGGGAATGACAGATGGAATTGGTGAGAATGAGAGAGAGAGAGAGAGAGAGAAAGAGAGAGAGAGAGAGAGAGAGAGAGAGAGAGAGAGAGAGAGAGAGAGAGAGAGAGAGAGAGAGAGAGAGAGAGAGAGAGAGAGAGAGAGAGAGAGAGAGAGAGAGAGAAAGAGAGAGAGAGAGAGAGAGAGAGAGAGGAGAGAGAGAGAAGAGAGAGAGAGAGAGAGAGAGAGAGAGAGAATAGCATCTCCATCTTCATTATGGAGGTAGATTCATCTCGACATCTGGCTGAAAAATAACCTCCTCATTCCAAACATCCAGTATACTAGACACATTTCCTCGCTCTATAGCAGGGCTGTAACCCCCCCCCCCCCCCCCCCCCCCCCAATAATTGGAAATGGCCAAATTATCCCCACCAATATATGATATTTCTTAATACTGCTCTCCATTATGCACTGCTCTGTTTTTTTGTTAGGATGACAGAAAGATTAAAAAGTTACATTTTTAGGCTGTTCAGCCATAGCAGTCTAACAGCGCTCGTCAGTGTCAAAATGATGGCCAATCAGATCAAAGAAGGCGGGGCTTAAAGGGGTCATTGGATGCCTATTTTCCACAAGTTGGTATGATTCTTTAGGGTCTTCATGTAAAGTTTGTAAAATACTTTGGTTAAAATTCCTCAATGGTTGTATAAAACAACACCCTTTTAACCTCCTCAAAAACAGCTGTGTTCACAGCGACCCGTTTCGGTCTTTTTTTTTTAATGATCTCATACTATTTCTCAATTTACATCAGTAATTATACAGTGTTCACTTGAAATTGTTACTTTAAACAATTTCAAGTGAAAATTTGATGTCAAGTATACTGGACGTTTATATATACACAAAATAAAATAATGTAAATAAAATGAGGTAAAAAATGTGTAACCTGTTTCAGAAAATATTTATATTAATTTAATACACATTGTTCATTAGTTTTTCCTACTACATCAGTGACTAATTCTGTTATTAATTATTCTATTAATATTTTCTCTTAAATGTGCTATGATGGTTTTTATCTGACAAAAATTATTTTCAATAACTGAATATTAAATAATTTTAAATATTATTATATTTTTGAACAGTGGATATTATGAATGAATGAATGAATGAATGAGTTTAAAATGCAGCAAGAACAGTTTTCACAATTAAACATTCTGTAAAGATTCCCATCTTGGAACTAACTAAATAAATAAATAGAGGCATGGAGAGGAGAGAGTAGAAAGATTAAACAGCAGGAAGAGTATCATGTGATGTGCAGAGTGCCTCTATACGGCTTCAGAGAGCCTTGAGGAGGAGACATCATTTTAAGAAGAGATCAGAGCACAATAATGCATATTCATACTGATGGGCAGCAGGACATTTATGTTTATTAGCTGTCAATGTAACGGACAGAAGGGGTGCTACAGTGTGTGTGTGTGTGTGTGTGTGTGAAGTCATTAGCTCTGTGTTTCTTGCCAAAGGGAATGGTCGACTTCAACTCACACACTCACTAATATTCAGGCAACAAGATTGAGATTGTTTGGTGTGTGATAGACTCGGCAACCCTGCTAATGACCACAGCCATGTTGTAAAGCACTTCCACTGCCCTGTGAGCATGTGCGTATGAGTGCTTGTGCATCAGATAGAGAGATGAAAGAGAACTAGAGACAGAGAGAGAGGAAAGCGACAGATTCATCAGCTCTGATGGGTACATTTTGATTGTGTGTGTTGATGTTTGTGTGTTATTATGAGATTTAATGAACTCTGAGCTATTTGTCTGTGTTTGTGTAAAAGTATCTTGGCCATGTTCCATATCAGTGTCTTCAGTTCCAAAACACAGCAGGACCCATCATTCTGTCGCTCTTATTCTCTGTCCATCTGTCTGTCTCGCTCATCTCGCTTTCAGTCCACTTGTTTCTGTTCTTTCCCAGACATGTTTGACCTAAGAAAGAATTTGTCTTGGTATTTTTTCTTTCATCTCCATGAATATGGTCAGGGCTTTGGCGGGTTACCTCATCCCCATTTGATAGATGCCATAACAAATAAGCATTCACAATTAATATCAGTGCTGTCAATTGATTAACAATTAACTAATTAATTTCTGCAATTAATCGCACCTAACATTAAAGTTTATTTAATATATTTTTTATACTGTATTCATTTCACAACAAATCTCCAAATTATAATATAACAAATATATATAAAATAATAAAAATTAAATTAAGTTACAAGTTATATTGTAGTGGATGCATGTTTTAACAGTGACCAATTTATATGGTGGTGGGGGCGGGGAATGGCAACAACAAAATCTTACAGCATAGATTTCTGCCAAAAATGGTGCAAAATCCTATGCATGTCTATCCAGCTATCTGTAGAATCACACCTCTGAAACAGGTCTCCAGAGGAGGGTTTAAAAATAAAGGACAGCATCCAGCATACCATATAGTGCGCCAGTGTTGGCGCATATGTCGTTTTAACTGTTGTGCTATTTGGGGTTACTTATTTTATGCCTTAAATTTCCCAAGCACTAGTATAAAACACATATATTGCCATTTTCTGAATAAGATGACAACCAAGATGAGAAAGCTTTGGAAAATCACTGCATTACAGGCAGAGTTTCCCCATAACATGCCAAATAGTGCTGTTATAATAATCTGAACTTATGCCATTCATTATTTATAACTTCCACTCCACCCATTCACAAGATTTGCACTCACCCGCTTTACATCTTTTCCAAACGTCTCACTGTAACTGGTCCCCAGGACCTCAAACTGGACATGAGAGTTCGCTCCATTGCTTCGGAAGTCCATTAAACCAGTGAGCCCAGAAATCCGTCCCTGAAGAGAACGACAAATAAGACTTCTATTCAGAAAGAAATTCATCATTCAAACCAGACCAGTTTTATTGAACACTATTGAACTTTACTAGGCTGAACTAAAGAGAACTGAACCAGATCAAATTAAGTGTAATTGAGATTAATTGTAAGGTGACTTTAGACCTTTTGGATGGTGTCCAGCATGGACCAGCCTCCGTTCCAAGGCTTGGTTGACTTCCTCATGCAGTTCAGACTGGCCATGCTATGCCACTTCCTGTCCTCTAACTTCCGGTAGAAGGCATTGGCCAACATCAGCACACTGTCATACAGGTACAGACTAGACACCTAGAGACACATACACCAAACAAATGTGTGAACATATTTGTAATTTTCTTTTTACATGCGCATCTCACAAAAGTTACACTTACTAACCAGACAATGCATAACGTCATGTAAACATCTTAAAGGGATAGTTCTCCTAAAAATGAAAATTCTGTTGGCACTCACCCATCATTCATGTATAACTTTCTTCACCCTCAAGTCCAGTAAGCGGTGGACATGTTAACCTGCTTCTTCATAGTGATGTCCAGTTCACAAATGAACTGTTCGTTTGAACTGGTTCTTTTTAGTGAACTAGTTTAAGCTGTTCACCAAATCGGACTGAACCGTCTGAAACAGTTTGCGGCTTGAGTAAGTACAGATCTACAAGTTATTCAATCAAAACTCACTTTGAAACATGTCTGACAGTCACAATATCCAGAAGTATATGATCCTATGATGCCGATTTTTGCCAACTCATTCAGCGTTCCAGTTAGTCCAACTGTACACTGAACTGAGAACAGTACAGATATGTCCGACATGCTGAGAACTGTCTGGCAAGGGTTTCATAAAGGGGGCAAAATTTATGTTTCTGATGTCTTTTGCTGAAAAGCATAAAGTATAACAAATAAAACGTATTAAAAATATAACAGTGATCCGATGGCAGTAGTTCACATCATTATTGGGTGCTTTAACAATATTATTGCATGATTACGTAAACAAACTGGTGAATCGTTTTTTTGAACCGGTTCATTTAAACAAACTTTCCGAAAGAACCAGTTTGCGGAAAAGTCTTCCCATCACTACTACTTCTGGTGTTTTAATGGCACACCAACTTAAAAAAAAGTGAATTTACGCCACCTACTGGACTGGAGTGTGAATCGCTGGATGGCACAAATGAAAGCAATAATAGAGACACCAATTTTACAATGCAATTGCTTAAATTGCAGGTTGTTTTCATCAAAACCAATCCCATAAATATTAAGTTCCCCTTCAGGGACTACCGCTGCGTGTAATCGCAGTGGGAACGCCCCCCAGCGTAACGCGTCTGAAGCATGAATGAAATCAGTCAATGGAGCGTCACAGCGAGTGACGTCACCGACCAGGAAGCTATAAATATCCCCTGAATACACAAGCCACCAGCTTCTGTTACTTCAGCAGCGCTCTGTGTGTGTCTGAAATCTTTCGATTGTGTTTATCTGATTCTGTCAGGAGTTTTTCACGATATATATATATATAAAAAAAAACAAAATGAGCGAGCAGTATAGAAAGTGTGTTCCCCCCCTGTACACGTTACATCACGGGTGGGGATTCACACGAGTTATGTGTGGCTTGTTTGGGTGTTCAGCATGCCCAGTCGGCTCTCGAGGGAGTCGATTGTGAGCATTGCGAGCGCTTTCCTTTGAGAACTCTGCACTCGCGGCGATCGCTCTTTGAGGAGAGTGGTTTGCTGCGAGCTCCCCAGGGCTCGGGTCCCCGCTTCTGTTGAGGCAGAGCGGCGGCGCTTGACTTGGGGTTCGCAGATGGATCTCACCGGCGACGCTAAGACGGGCCCCGCCCTATCTCAGCTTTCTCCGGCGGGATCCAGTGCCTCTCACCCGGCTCTGGAAGCACGCGCTGCGGTGGTTACTTCTGCCCGGGTTGAGGCACATGATGATGTGGAACTTAGGACTATCCAGTTCTGAGGAGCTGGATGTCGAAAGTTTGGCATCAGAGGAAACTAGCTCACTTCATTATACTGCTGAAGAAGGTTTGATGGATGTGTTATCTTGGGCTGTTGAAAAACTCAGTATTGAATGGCCAACTGATAGACAGGAATCTAGAAATAAAAGCAAACTAGATGATAGATTTCTCTCTGCACGTCCTCAGCCTTCTCGCCGGTGCTTACCGTTCTTCCCAGATCTTCATGCTGAGGTTTCAAAGACCTGGGTTAGACCGGTTTCGAGCAGAATATGTACTAATCAATCCAATGCTTATGGTAATATTTTTGGTGCAAAGTCTGCTGGATATGTGACGATGCCGAAGGCGGAGGAGACGCTCGCGAGCTATCTCTCTCCTGCCTCGGCATCTTCGCTTAAAGCACCGGCTCTTCCTTCTAGACCACTAAAAAATACCTCTGTACTGGTGGGGAAGGCTTACTCAGCGGCTGGGCAGGCGGCTGCATGTTTGCATACAATGGCCATTATGCAGGCTTATCAGGCCGACCTGCTCAAAGATGTGTGTGAGGGGGAGAAATTTCGGCAGATACGATTAATGAGCTCAGGCAGACTGCTGATCTCACTCTCCGGGCCACCAGAGAGACAGCTAAATCTATCGGCCGGTCTATGGCAGCCATGGTGGCCACAGAAAGGCATTTATGGTTGAGTCAAACCTCTATGAAAGAAAAAGATAAATCTCTACTTTTAAATGCTCCCGTTTCGCCTGCGGGCCTCTTCGGTGATGCTCTTCACTCTGTCACTGAGAGGTTCCAGGAAGAGAAAAAACAGGCGGCTGCTTTTCATAAATTTATCCCTCTCAAAGTGCGCGTCACTGGGGCTGCTGAGCGAGGGCAGTCCCAGCCGTCGAGTTCGTCGTCAGAAAAGAGCACAGCAGAAGCGGAGTGTCGCGTCTCGTGCCCCCCCGCAGACAAACTGGAGGGACGAGGCGGGGCGCTCTCCGGCGCGGCCTTCTCTGGGCAGGACTGATCTGAGGACAGTCATTGTCGCCAGGAAGGCCGCGTCGAAAAAGTCCTGACGGGCTGAACGTCAGGACTCTGAGGGTGGTCCCCATCGGGAAAAACTTGAGTTCACCGCACAAGAACACGGTGCCCTGTCTTTCTCGATGCCCTCAGGGGTCTGTTCTACTAACCCTGCCTATACAGGGCGTAGAGAGACTCGGCGAGCGATTTCCCGAGGGACGCTCGCCCCCTCCGAGGAGGGTTGTGGAGTGCTCAGACCAGCTGTTTCCTGCCAGTATGTTACAGGGCGCTGTGTCTGTCACTCGGGATGTTCATCCAGAGGCCAGCCTCGAGAGGCTGGTTCCCTTAGTAGAGTTCCTGGCGGAATGGGAAATGCTTCCCAATGTTTCTCAGTGGGTCCTGAATATTATAAAGAACGGGTACGCTATTCAGTTCAGAACGCGTCCACCTCGGTTCAGAGGGGTTCTGCCCACGGTGGTGGGCCCCGAGCAGGCTCTGGTATTAGAACAGGAGGTAAAAAACTCTGCTGCAAAAAGGGGCTATAGAACGGGTTCCTCCACCCAGCAGGGAGTTAGGATACTACAGCCGGTACTTCATCGTTCCGAAAAAAGATGGAGGGCGCTTACTTCCATGTATCTATCCTCCCTCAACACAGGAAGTTCCTGAGGTTCGCTTTCGGGGGCGAAGCGTACCAATATCGGGTTCTTCCGTTTGGCCTAGCACTGTCACCCCGCACGTTCACGAAGTGTATGGATGCAGCTATAGCTCCGCTCAGGCTGCAGGGCATCCGTATTCTGAACTATATAGACGATTGGTTAATTCTAGCTCAATCGGAACAACAGGCGGTTCGGCATCGAGATGTCGTTCTTGCTCACATCAAGAGGTTGGGGTTGAGACTCAACGCCAAGAAGAGTGTTCTTTCTCCATTACAGAGAACCACTTTTCTCGGTGTAGTGTGGGATTCGACAACGATGCAGGCACAATTGTCACCTGCTCGTGTTGCTTCGATTCTCGCCGCAGTAGATCAAGTCAAGCTAGGCCGGTCATCCACTGTAAAACAGTTCCAGAGACTGTTAGGTCTCATGGCAGCTGCGTCCAACGTGATACCTTTTGGCCTCCTGCACATGAGACCGTTACAGTGGTGGCTCAGAACCAAGGGATTCTCCCCGAGGGGAAATCCGCTTCGCATGATCATGAGTTTCGACGGTGTCATCGCGCCCTGGTTATGTGGAAAGATCCTTGGTTTCTGTCCCAAGGCCCTGTGTTGGGAGCTCCTTGTCGTCGCGTTATGCTAACGACAGATGCCTCTCTCACGGGTTGGGGGGCGATCATGAGTGGTCGCCCGGCTCAGGGTCTGTGGGAGGGCCATCACCGTCTATGGCACATAAATTGTCTAGAGATGTTGGCAGTGTTTCAGGCCCTGAAACATTTCCTCCCAGACCTAAGAGGCCACCATGTTCTTGTCCGGACAGACAACACGTCGGTGGTCTCTTATATCAACCATCAGGGGGGTCTGCGTTCTCGCCCGCTTTACAAGCTGGCACGTCAGATCCTTCTATGGTCCCAGGGGAAAATTCTCTCTCTCAGAGCTATTTATCTCCCGGGGTATTTGAATCAGGGGGCAGACATCCTGTCGAGGCAGGGGCCGAGGCCTGGGGAATGCAGTCTTCACCCCGAGGTGGTGGAGCTCCTATGGGGACATTTCGGTCGTGCCGAGGTAGACCTATTTGCGTCCCGAGAGACATCACACTGTCCACTGTGGTTCTCTCTCAGCCAGCCAGCCCCACTGGGGTTGGATGCGATGGTACATCCGTGGCCGAGGTCACGCCTGTACGCTTTTCCCCCGATCGCTCTGCTCCCAGGAGTTCTGGAGAGGATTGGCCGGGACGGGCTTAGTCTCCTGCTAATAGCCCCGTTCTGGCCGGCCCGAGTATGGTTTGCGGACCTAGTGTCTGTCCTCGACGGCTCTCCCCTAGAGATACCGATCAGGAGAGATCTGCTCTCTCAGGCGAGTGGGTCGATCCTTCACCCCCGTCCAGAGCTATGGAGGCTGTGGGCTTGGTCTCTGAGGGGGCCCAGCTCATAGATTCTGGTCTCTCGGCTGAGGTCGTTGAGACCATCCTCCAATCCAGAGCTCCCTCCACTAGGAAGTTATATGCCGCGAGGTGGAAACTTTTCACCTCTTGGTGTGGAGAGCGCCAGCAGGACCCAGTTAACTGCCCAGTTGGTACAGTGCTGGATTTCCTGCAGGACCGTCTCTCCACAGGGTTATCCCACTCCACACTGAAGGTGTATGTGGCGGCCTTAGCTGCTTACCACGCCCCTTCAAGTGGAGGTTCCCTCGGGAAAC